CCCCAAAACCCCAAAACCCCAAAACCCCAAAACCCCAAAGGATGATAAACTGGTTGAATTAGCATGCATTAAAATATTATTTTTATTAGAAAATATGGAAAAGAGCTATAATGACTTGATCCTTCTGAGCCTCCTAATCTCCTTCTGGGTTGGTTTAGGGCTATAAACCCTTCACAAATTCCGTTTTCTCCTCGCTTTGAATCTTTTGGTAAGAGCTTTCCGTTGTAATTTTGAGAAGGTCTTTGGAAATTTGGGATTCTCTTTCAACTTTTTAACGTCTGGAGAATTTTTAGGGATGCTTCCTCCTCTTTTAGTCATCATATTGGTGATTGAAGATGTATTAAAGTCGCTGTTTATAGTAATAGGTGGCTCAGATGACTTTTTCATAGCTTCGAAGTCCCTATAGAATACATTTTTAGGATCATATTCCAATGAAAACCTTAAAGTGTGTAAAACATATGTTAATTTTTTGGTTAAAATATTGCTTACATTCGAAGGGTTTCCATAGTTGAAGGAGGTCTCAAAGTATCTACATTTAAATAATTTATTTGACTGTCTTGTTTCTTGTAGTCTATTTGGCAGCCTGGAGGCTCAGTCTATATCAAAGTAGATTAATAAGTGCTTAAATATATTCCAAAACTGTAGCTCCTCTTTTGTCTTTCTTTACTCTTACAAATTCTTAGGAAATTGAGTAAAAGGAGATTTTAATTAATTTGATAAGTTTAAATAGTGCTTCTTACTAAGAACGGAGAGAGTTTTTCAGTCCGGCCATGTCCTTCGCTCTCTATTTGTGAAGCACTTGAGGGTTCATTAAGGCAAATGCAATTACTGTTCTGAGAAGCATCTACTTTAACCACGTTTATTTTTGGAAGGTCTTCAAAGCTAAAGTCACTATCTGTCCTGATAGAGATACTCTCTTCGCTGAGCTTATCAGTAGCGTAAAGTTTAAACGGGCTATTTTGACTGGCCTCAGAATTCTTAAACTTCATCTAGAAAGGTGTTAACAAACGAGGTAAAATGGAATTTTAAACTCCAGATAAAATTTTAGGATCATATCAATCTTGAGAGATAAAGATATCCTACATCAATTCGCTTCAAGTATTGTTGGTTCTTTCTCAGACTTCAGAGCCTGATCACTTTCGGATGCTCAATTTTATTTTTCTTTGACCTAATCTCAAGAACTGAGTTCCTAATGTTAAAATGACTTGATTTTATAGTATCAGAGTCAGTCCTAATCTTGCTAATAGTTCTAGGAAAATTGTTTTGAGCTATGAATTATTCAGAATCTGTACCACATCCTCTTTTAAGTGCATAATCATCCTCAATTTTTTGCAAAATTATTGAGAAAATTCCATATTTAACAAGCTTGGTAATGCTTTCTGAGTATTGAGAAATGGATGAATTAAAATTGAAGTTAATTCTTCTACAATTTTTTCTACGATTTCTCTCTATGATCTTCCTTTCTAGAAGAGAATGATAATTATAACTTACTTTTATCAATACTGATAAACCTTGGCCTGAATTTGCGCCTAAAGACATTAGATTTGTAATAAAATGAGGCCAAAGGTGCTTGATATACTATCAAAACTTACTCTCTTTTTCTTTTGAGATATACAGCCTAAAAGAAACGTCAGCATCTGAATTATGAGGAAGATATTGCAAATCTGAAGTGAATGATTACCTTCCTGGCTGTTAAATCTAATCCGACCAATTTTTTGACCCTCCGGAAAGGAGTGGAATCTTTATTAAATATCAGTTCCATGATCTCGTTCCATTGTGAGTTACTATAAAAATTATTAATAATATCCTATTCACTGAATTCCTTTAGGATATCCAAGACTTACTTTTTCTTTTTGGGTCAAACGTGAAAGCTGGATTTAAGATCCTGCTTTTCAGAGAAATGCATAAGATCTTCTCCTGTATCATCCTGAGGTGGTTGATAACCCTCCGGGTGATCAAACCTCATGGATTTTTGATATAGAACAGTCTTATTATACCCTCCGTAAAAATAGAGGAACTTTAAATCAGATTTTTCTTCAGGCTTGTTGAGTGCAAATGGAGAATTATCAACTCTCTTCGGTTGGCAAACTCTGAGTGGTTTTTTGAGACTGAGTAGAGGACTCAATGGGGATTTCATGAATTTCATGCTCTCAAACTCTTTCTCCCTTCCGCTCGGTGACTATAAAAGTTAAGTTAATACCACAAGGTATTAATAATTTGATAAACCTGTTATTTAGCTATGATAACTTTTAATGCAAAGGATCAGAACAAATTTTAGATTTAGAAGTCTCCAAGAAACTTAGAAGATAGGCTATAGTACCTGGTTGCTTCTTGTATAGATCTTCTTTGGGGAGAGTTTTCTGATCCGCAAATTTGCACCTTCACAAACCCCCTCTTTGGGGTTGGACAATTTACTTTGTTTCCAGTCTTGCTTCGGTCTATTTTAGTGGTAAATAATAATGATCAAAATATGTCAACAAGAGCGTTACTTTAACTCCTGAGCTGAATAGAAGTTATAAAAGTCATATGAATTTTCACATGATTTCTAATTCTAAGATAATTTCTTTGACTAATGAGAATTAGTAAATTAAAATTTTCATAGACTATTTCAGGCACATTATTAGCACTGTCTTTTAAGAAGATATTCAGAGGGAAATTGGTCACCCACAGTAATCTCAGACTAATTCTGCAAGACTAATGCTAGACTTATATTAGAGCTCGAACTTAAGAATTCTTTGTGAGAAAATATTAGCATTTTTTGCCAAATTAAACTTTTTTATGTGAGATAAAGTTTTAATGGTCAATTTGTTGCTTTAGTGAGCTTTGATTAAGCTCAGAAGCCTAGATACTATGAATTAGTTTGGTTATACCTTTGCTCCATTTTAGTAATAATCTCTATTATTATGTAATTCAATAGTTTTAATAATTTTGGGGTTTTGGGGTTTTGGGGTTTTGGGGTTTTGGGG